TTCATAATGGAAATAGAGTAGAAAATAAGGGATAAATCTAAGTATTATGCGCAAGAAAACATGTTTAGATACAATCTATGTCTCATTCCTTAGCTGTAAACATAAGCCGAACGCAACTTGCATGTAGGAGCGGGAATCATCAGTACAGCCGCCTATCTGCCAGCATAAATGAACAGGAGATATTTCAAATCGATATCATAATCCAACAAGCCTTTTGGAAACACAAAGAATGAATAGAATAAACGAAACCTCGTGCTTTTCGATTTCATCCCTGAGTATTCTGGCTGCTTCCTGACAAGGGCTATCACGCAGATACTGTTGTATTGCTACAAGCAATTCTGAAAATAACTCACACTAAGTGTGTATAAGGGAAAAATGCAAAACGCTCGCTATCATTTTCCACTTTAGAGCAAAATACGTCGGATCAAAAATTTTCGACCATTTCGGCCATAAGCCAACTTGTCAGTGCAATTTTCATATAAAAAAAGACATCTGTGAATCAGAGTGTCTCACCGATATGCGTCGTTGTATCAAATTTCGACATTATTCGTCCATTTGTTATGCTATCGCAGTCCTAAAAAAAATCCATCATCATCTTCAGTGCAATTATTACAATCCTTTCGCAAAATATTCGAGTAGCGATCGCATAATTTTTGAAAAATTTTCAAAAAACTGCTTAGAGCACCGCTTAAAAAACCCTGATCCAACCAGTCTATTCTGGTAAAGGAATACTAATAGGATACACTATGTCCAACGCGGGTTACAAATTCAGGCAGCTCAAAGCAAATTAAGAAAACGAATCTCACTTCCCCCGGCTACGCTCCACTTATGGTAACGATAAGGAATGTATACGACTTAATGGATCGAAATATTCGCTCTCAGTTACTTAATTTCATTTTTTTATATTAAAAAAAGTCCACTGTTATATCTATTCTTATGTTTCACGAACCAACATCTGTCTGACCAGTGTTTAGTAACAATACAGTAATGAAGAGCAAATATAAAGGAAAAAAGTCGAATATAAGCTTAAAATCACAATCATGTGTTGCAATGCAGATTACAATGCACTGTAACACCTAATTTGTGGTCAAATTTTCAAGGCAAACTTGAGGTCGCATTTTGCGGTTGAATTCTTAAGCACCAATGTGCAAGCCTTAAATACTGATAACCGTAATCACAATTATTAGAACTCGTTTACAAGAAAACTATCAAGCAGAAATTCAAACACATTTTCCTGGGCAAAACCATGAGACGCATACCAGTTCGCAGATATTTTTCAGCGGCTTCTTGACCGCACTGTTTTATCAAAAATACCACAACAACAGTACTGGGATGTTTATTTATCTCTTATGCTCAAAAAGTATTAAAAATAGTCAAGTTGACATTTTAATAAAAAACAAAATTAAAAGCTAGCTGTATTGCCATGGAGGTCAAAGCAGGGATCAGCCTTAACATGTGCAGCTGGCCCTGTAGCCCGCACGACGAACCGGTTTCTCAAAGAAAAAAACTGAATTTTCGAATGCTGTTGAATACCGGAACTTATTAATACACTCGCATTTGAAAAGTGACAAAATTTCGCCCACATGGCAAAAATCAGCAAAAGCAGCACAAAAACAACACTGACAGCATCTGCAACAAACATCATAAAAAAAAGACTTTATCCTGGAAAAATTCCGCGCTCACTGGTAGGACGTGGTAAAACGAAGATGCCGCAAGCAGTAGTGCAGCAGCAACAACATGAATTGCAATGTATAAAAATTTGCCCTAAAAATTAACAGATCTGTGCAAATTTTAACTGCTCCGATAGGCCGATGTTCAAGCACAAATAAGGGGAATTTGCTGCAAGAGATTCTTAAAAAAATACGACAACAGTATAACAAATTCTCTTTTTTCAGGATGGCTCAAGTTCACTTCTAAAAGCACGGAAATAAAGAGAAAGATCCCGTGTAGCTTGAGAAGGGAGGATACTGCATTCGAAAGCGAACTAGTATGTGGCACTCTCGGGAGGCTGCGGCAATTTCATATTCTCCTTTGCAGTCATCATCGTCTTCCGAATATCCTCCAGAATCGTCTTGATATAAAACGTACTATTCCACTGACGTAGCACCGGCACGTAACGCCTATCAACCTGCAACTTTGCTTCGCATAACGCATTCTTGCTCTTGACTAATTCCTGTTAAACAGGTGTCTGCTCGCCCGTACGACTGGGTTAAACGGCTGTATCAAAAATAAGAAACTGAATGGTTCCCAACGCCTCCTGAAAGCTATTCATAAAGTGTAAGACTAGCGTCGTGGACGGAACCCTTTTTCGCAAATTGTTCTGGATCGGGAAGGAATCGAACCACCTCCGTTCATGTCGGGATGCAATGTGTTACTACTACACCACGCGTCCTTGCATGTCAAGTTCAGCCTGGCAGCACATTTACTGCATATCTGCTTTTCAAGGCAAGATACACCTTTCTTTACTTCTCTTTTCTTTGTGACGGCCTCTTGGCCCACTTTTTGCGGGTTTTCCGCAAGTGTTAGTTCCTGGCAGATTAATCAGCCTAATACTGATCAGCAGCTAGACGCTAAGTTCTGAATCTGTAGGAAGCCATGCTTTTCGCTTTACAATTAACCTGTGATGTGGAATGCTGATACAAGTAAGATTCGCGAGAACTGCCAAATGGAACTACAGAAATAGGTTCAAGAGAAGACGATCAGTCATGGAATGTTTTGCATGTGGATATTAGAAGTCAAAAATTCCCCCGCACCCATTCGTTATCATAGTCAGAAGAGATACTCAGGCGTAATCCTCTTCCGGGGGTTTCCTGAAACCATTACTGATAGCCGTGGGTTCTGCATGTACTGCAGCAAAATCGCGCTTCAAATCAGAGTCGGGGTAGCTTTTGCGGACTAACTTTTCTCAAAGAGGTCAAATCCAGAAAAATGCGCTCATTCATCAAGCTCACTGGGCAGACGATTGACAACAGAACTATCAGTCTAGGCCGATCGCACAGGATAAAATGAAAAGCTTTTACCGTGCCATTCGCTTGATTCACTCCATTCATGTTAATTTTTGTAGTAAAGCGTACGGAGGGTGCCTCTTTGGGATAGTTCGGGCCACATTCGATGCGTAAATTGTATATTCTGGATTCAAAAGGCGTCTGAAACATGCGCTCATAAGTTCGCTTAAAAAACAACACAGAGGAAGCTGCCTGAAGATCAAGTGGTCAAGTCATTTAGTGATGTGATCCCTCGAATTTCGCTGATTAAGCCTGTAGGAGGAATCAAATGAGGTTTTGCCGGGGTCCTTGTGAAATGAAATACGCATCAATTTCGAATGTTCATCTGGTGATGTGGCCGATTGATCGCCCATGGCGGAACAAAGCAAATGGAAAGAGATTTTGCTGCGACTGTCACGGGAGAAAAAACGCACCAATTTCTAACCTCAATTGCCAATAAGCTTTGATTTGTTCCTCACTCTGAGTTGAATTGGTTATGCGATCCTTCGGAAATCGCAGTCTTAAAGCCATGTGGTTCCTCTGCAATCCTTGCGTCATGATATTCCGAACACATCCACCACCGTAGGATCCCGTCGACACCACGGTGCGTCGTAGAAGAGTATGGTCACGTAGAGGATTTTATTATGGGCCGAAAGGCACATTCAGGCTGCCATGGCCCAGTGCGAGATAGCGAGGAAAGTTTGCACAACAAATGAAAGATAAGCTACAGATAGAACAGAGCTAAATAATTGAGGTGAGGGTAATAAGTGCGAACCCGTGGCGGACCGATGATCATTCCTGTCCAGCGAGTCAACGTCATATCATCGTCGTCCTCAAGTCCCCAAGATATATTGCCGTCGCCTTTGCCTTTCTGGCCATCTTCTAACTCTTCCAGAAGGCGAAAATTCCGCGGAACATCCACTGCAAATCAAACTTCCAGTTAACCGTTGATCTCAGTCAAGCACATTCTGTACAGCGGCATTCTACTAAGTAGCCATAAAGACTTTAAAATAACAGTATTCTCAAAAATAAATAGAGGTGCGCACTAGAGCAACCAGTGCGATCGTGAGTTAGATGCAATTCCGTCTACCGAACGATTGCCTGTTAATGATTTTCACTGCTTTGCACTTTGGTCTGTGCAAAAATAGCTGAAATGTTGTCTAAGTTGCGAAATTTCCCACCAGAAATTTCATACACGGTATGTGAAAGCTGAATTTGAAACTTCGAAGGGTGGATATCCTTTCACAATTTCAGTCTCCCAATTTTATGGCTTTCCAGTGATTTCTGTGACAAAACTTTTACGTGTTGGTAAGTCAGAGCTCGGCATATTTAGGAAATGAATTCGAATTTGTGAAGCCCTGCTTAGTCAGGAAACATTCTCCCGAAGTTTTCAGGCTCCTGCCGTACTGACTCCCGAGATAACGATTTCTCCCGTCAAAACTTCCACAGTGACGTTGAAAATTTGTGGAGTCGTATGTGAGCAGAAGATGCCACGCTAAAATTTCAGCATTCCAGCTTTTACAGTTAACGAGATAATTTCCCTACCAAAAATTTCACGGGGCTGTACGTGGCACTCAGCGGTGCATGAAGGCTGAGTCCAAATCTGGGGGTTCATAGTTTGGTGGGGAGCACCATCCTAAAATTTCAATTTCCCAACTTCCACGGTTCCCGAGATAAGAATTTTCCCCTCCGAAACTTTCATTAGGCAGCAAGTGACACTTGGGCGTGTGGGAAGGCTGAATGCAAATTTGCGAGATTGTATGTGGGCGGGGGAGATTACTGTAAAATTTCAGCACCTTCGCTTTTTTGTTTTCCGAGTTAATAATTTACCCGCCAAAAGTTTCACAGGGCAGAACATGCTACCCGCGGACATAGGAAGGCTGAATTTAAATTCGAGGGATCGTACGTGGGCAGGGAATGGTCCGCTAAGATTTCAGCTTCCTAGACTCCGTATTTTCCGAGATAATAATTTACCCACTAAAAGTTTCACGGGGCAGCACGCGTTACCAGCGGGAACGGGAAGGATGAATTTAAGTTTTCAGGGTCGCGCGTGGGCAGGGGACATACCCAAAAAATTTCAGCTTACTGGATCCCGTGGTTCACAAGTTAATAATTTTACCCGCCAAAAACATATTGCGGGGCTGTACGTGTTACCCACGGGTACGGGGAGGCTGAATTTAAAGTTACGAGATTACACGTGGGTGGAGTACATTCCCCGGGATTTCCAGCTTCCTAGCTTTTGTGATTCCCGAGTTGAAAGTTGCGGAAAAGTTGATGCGGATACACACACACACACA